GAGAGAGAGAGAGAGAGAGAGAGAGAGAGAGAGAGAGAGAGTTGCCAGATTTTTAATTAAAAAGGTATATATTTTTATAAAAGAGGCAACGAATTCTGAATACTCATCTAATATGCAAAACTTTATTCCATTGAGAACAGAGGTAGAGAACACATTTTTTGTAAAACTCTTTGGCATTTAATATTAGGCTCTAATAACGTATAGGTCGATTATAAAAAATTTATCACGTAAAAAAGAGATATGTCTTAATTTTTTTTTATACATATACATATATCAACTGGACATATGAATTTATGCGATAATTTGTCTCAAATTTTTAAGACAAATTGGCCTTACTAACTGTAAAAATTAATCATTATTCTCTCAAATTACACTCTGCAAAACGAATAAAAAAGATGTTTTAAATGACAATGATGCCATCACTTATTCACATACGCAGCTGACAGTCTGTATGTGCAATTCAAAAAACCGTGATAAATGCATAAGTGCAAGATAATTAGCACACAGTCGAATGCACTTTTGTACTAAAGTGTTTCCAGTGAATGTAATAAAATTTGTAATGATTGTGATATTCGTAACTAGATAGGAACTACTTTTAAGATGTATTTAAGAACTATGAAAATTTTAATTGATGGAATAAATTTATTAATAAAACTATAGAATCCATTGCACGCCTAAAAAATCGATTTTGATAGTAACAATCTCGTAGCTTAAATAACATACTATCACTGAAGCGCGTAATTAACTTTCCAAGCGTTGCGACGTATTAACTTCCATTGCAAATTACGGTCAGCACAGCGTATCGTGATAGAACGACATATATATTTATAAATATACTATAACAGAACATTATACAAAACAACAAGCGTTTCGGCAGCGGCCGCTATTGACTCGATTTCTCTCTTGTAGTGTATATATACTAATAACAATATATATATATATATATATATAACATAAGAGTTAACGTCATTTTAAATATAGCTAATTAACTACTAACGATTATCTTACATTGCCATATCGTCTTCTCATTCACGAATATAATAGTAAAAAATTGGCTAGTTTGGTAGATAAAAAGGTACGCATATTCATTGTACATCGTTCATTGATTGACTTTCTTGTGCGCTTTCACTTTCCACCTGCATAAGATGAGGTAGTTCAGCCTTCGTAGCCAACTCCAATGTATGCATCCATCTATAAGTTCAATAAACATATAATATTAGTATTACTCATTTATTTACACAAAATACAGATTATTTGAACAATTTCGATACCCACTTTTCTTTGTCCTCTTGAGAAGACGCTTGGAGATAATAATATTTTCTCGAATGATGCATTTTGAATGCTCTTATCCGATCTTTCATGTTCAAAGGGTCTTCATCGGGTAATTTTGTACCTTCCGTAACCATAAATCCCGGCATGGGTGTCGCTGTCATGGCCATACTCTCCGACTCAGATTTGAATGAATACAAAACGAAGTCAACGTGCAATGCGAACCATCGTTTTGTCCAAGGCTTACTGGCCTGTGTCTTTAGTAACAGGTATCCGGATAATACTGATGACGCACTCGCTGATACCTGTAGCAAACTTGGCACTGGTCCAGATGGTGACGACGGTGATTTGGTGAGCGGTTGAGTGAGCGCGGCATGACATAATCTGCATACTCTCATATTCTTATTGTCTTCAAATAATAATTTCTGATTTGAGCATTTACTACAAACCACCTGGAAAAAGACGAAATTGTAATAGAGATGTTGAATAACTATTATTATAAAATAATTTATAACAAGAGATTAATCTTCATA